GGGTAATATGGCCCCTGATATGCTGAATATATTATAATCATGGGTTGCCATGGCAGCATATTAAGCCATGCATCGAGATGTCATGAGACACATCACACACAATAGAGCGATCTTACGCAATATATTCTGTGCCATCAATAGTGAAACAGGCTATATTTGAGCCAAGCTGACACATTACTTGGCTCCTCATATGTAGAGGGCCGTTGGCAATGAAACTGTGTTATATGGCCCAGTAGTGCTGACAGGTTTCTTTCCCCCTCTTCTTCTCCTCCTCCCTCCCTCCCTCTCTTCTCTTCTTTATTTCTCCCTCATCTAGGCTGTGGAGAGGCTGGCACGTGGCAAGAGGAGGGGAAAGGATGGATCCTCAGCCCAGTGTAAGAGCCTCCCCCCAGGGAAGCCGGCCTCAGACGCAAGGCCTCATGGGCCGTTGACCTGCTGTCTCTGTGATTTATGGCGGCTGGGGGCCTCTGGCCACTGCAGACTACTCTCCTCCATTTCCCTAAACACACTCTGCAGCACTGCAAGGAGCCACACACACTGCACCACCGTCTACAGGAGTATCCAAAGAGGGATTCCTCATACGCGCTGAGCTTCAGCACACCTGTGCATATATCTACTGCTTACTGCACCGTCTCATACAAAAATAAACACCTTTGTAAACATTCCTACACTACAGCACAGTGTCGCGCCATCTCATCACATGTCCTATGGACTAACTCTGCTATCAGAGTGTTATTGCTTTGACTGTATGTTGATTGCGATCAGTCATGGTGTGTCAACTGTAGAGACTTTGGTGTAACTGCTGCTTAGGGGCAGAACTGGATCAATGAAAGTGCACTGAGTATCAAGGTGATGTTCCTGTTTTCTCATGGTCTGAGAGCAATCAGCTGCCAGCATCTCTTTGTTGACCTCATACAGGGCTGTGCTACATTGCAGTAATAACAGACCTTTAATGCAGTGACTTGTCGTATTACTTTGATATTAAACACACTGTAGCTGGACAGTTGCGCCTTTGCAAATCTGTCATACCACGTTAATAACCCTTTTTCTCCAACTTTAAAGCTTTGGAGTGTACACAGTACATTTTACCTTCTGGACTATTTTATTTTTACATTTGAAAGCTGTGGCCTGAAAGTGAGAGCCAACAGGTGCCCTCGCCATGGTGTTGCCGCCTCCAGACAAACGCCACGTGTGCCTGACCACCATTGTCATCATGACCAGCATGGCCTTCATGGATGCCTACCTGGTGGAACAGAACCAGGGTCCCAGGAAGATTGGTGTGTGTATTATAGTGCTAGTTGGGGATGTATGCTTCCTCATAGTGCTGCGGTACGTGGCAGTGTGGGTTGGTGCTGAGGTGCGCACCGCCCGACGAGGATATGCCATGATTCTTTGGTTTCTGTACATCTTTGTCCTGGAGATCAAACTCTACTTTGTCTTCCAGAATTGTAAGGCCGACAGGAAGAGTCTGGAGACAGTGGCACGGAAGGCTTTGACGTTACTACTATCTGTGTGTGTGCCCGGTTTATACTTGGTTCTAGTGGCTCTGGATAGTATGGAATATGTGAGAACTTTCCGGAAGAAGGAAGACATGAGGAGTCGTCTGTTCTGGGTGGCTCTGGACTTATTGGACCTGCTGGATATCCAGGCCAACCTGTGGGAACCCCAGCGGACAGGCCTGCCCATCTGGGCTGAGGGCCTGATGTTCTTCTACTGCTACATCCTGCTACTTATCTTGCCCTGCGTGTCACTCAGTGAAATAAGCATGCAGGGGGAGCACATGTCACCTCAGAAGATGATGCTGTACCCAGTCCTAAGCTTGGTCACTATAAACGTGGTCACCATCCTTATACGTGGTGTAAACATGGTGTTGTTCCAGGACAGCCGTGTTTCAACCATCTTTGTTGGCAAGAATGTGGTGGCCATTGCTACCAAGGCTTCCACCTTCCTGGAGTACCGCAGACAGGTAAAGGAGTTTCCCCACCCACAGAACGCAATGGCACTAGAGTTGCAGCAGAACTCTGTCGGCCACACGCAGCCGCTGCCCAATGCCACCAGTTTGCCACATGAACCCTCACCAGCGCAGGATGTCATCGACACATGACCACCAGCGCTGGACTCGGCTTTATTAGAAACTGGAACAGAAAATTCTAGGGTTGGAGGATAGAGAAATCAGCTGCATGACAGGATGATATTCTGCTCTTGTCAAGCCCACATGAACTGCTGTAAACCCATAAAAGAGATTTTTAGCATCACCTGCCTGTCAGAATATACTGTAAACCTATACTTGACTCTGAGTGCAGCGTGCAGACTTTAAAGTCAGAACAAAGGTTTTTATCGTGCTGTTGTGTTTTTATTTGTTTCAAATGTTTTAAAAGTCGAATCTTTATTAAGAGACAATCTCCAAACGGCACAGCTCGGTAACGTTATGTTGTGTAAAATGGACAGCTGGTTTCCCCTCACTGACTATCTTGTATTGTTTAAAGGTCACTTATTTTGACAGTGCATCTGTGGCATTTCCTCTGAATTCCAGCACCAAAGGACAAACCAGTCAAGTGAAGTACTGATGGAGAGCAGGAGCTGAGACTAACAAAGGTCAATGATGAGGGGTTATCTGTGCTGGGCTACAGCAAGGTTGGAGGCTTCTGTGTTTGGTTCTGCTGAGAAAGGACCTCTGTTGAAGCTACTGCCCCTGTCAGTGTAATGCTTTACGGCCAAAGGTCTGATTAAAGCACCGGCACACACCACTGTACCATCCACTTCAGGCATCCAAATGCGTGTTTTACACTGTGTGTGTGTGTGTGTGTGGGTGTGTGTATGTGTGTGTGTGTGTGTGTGTGTGTGTGTGTGTGTGTGCGAGCGCAAACATGCAAATCTATAGCGTTTGTGTGCCTGAATACGTGTGTGTTCGCCACAAGAGGTTTGGGTTATTTCAGATTGTTTTGGAACAGATGCAAGTGGATTACGGCTATTCATAACTGAAAATGAGACAAAACATGTTGGGTTGTCAGGAGTGAAACCACATGATGTAGGAAAGATAATTTTTGTTTCCTGTACTGTACATTCCTCTTAAACTAGCTCAAGTCTTGAAGTCAAAGAATGAAGAGATCAGAGTCCACAGAATGCCTCACAAAAGAATTGAATAAATAAAATGCAGAAATACAATAACAAAGAGCAAAAGATATTTCCATTATTATTATTATTATTATTATTATTATTATTATTATTATTATTATTATGTACATTCATTCAACATATTTACATGTTGGAGGCCAATGATGTTTTAATAAAAATATAATTGAAAAATAATAATAAGCATGGTTTCTTTTTCCATAGAGTTGACTATGATGAACTAAAATTTTTGTTACATTACGGAGTGTTTGGTGTCCTTGCTGTCCTTGAAAGCTACCTAACAACAACAAACTGTGAAGATACATCTGTTATGCTTTGCAGGAAAGCGTCCATACACAACATAAATATTTAGACTAGCAGCCTTTTTCTGGATTTTCCTGGAGCATTCATTTTTTATCCCTAAGGCCACCACGTTTGGGCAAAGCAAGCAATGAATTTATCTTTAAAATGTGATAAAAATGTATGAACCTGTTCTCAGTTTCTCCCTTTTCCTCCTAGTTCTCATTATCGCCTTCCGACTCGCTTTCTTTTTCTTCTGTCAACAGTAATCTTCTCTGCACTGACCCAGTATAATTTACCAAGTAGAACTTTTTCAGCCAATCAATTGCCTTCATGTTTCCACAGAGAATTGCATTAATGGACCTGAGAGCTGTGGAGGGAGGAGGAGAGGTCGGCCCCATGAGAAAAGTAACTTTACTGTCATTGGATTAACTAAGGTTAACTGCTGATCTCAGCTCAAAGAGACACGCTGTCAGACCCTCAATGGCCCCACTCAATTACCAATAACTGTCAGCTGCACAGTCGCAAAGAGACTGAATGAATCCAGAGGGAGGAGTCTCTTACTTTCACCTTAAATAACCATTATTTTGAACACTTTCATTCATTCATTCATTCATTCATATATATATATATATATATATATATGTATACATATATGAATGTGTCTGATAACAAAAATTATTCCACCAGCTTCATGGGCAACATACATGCATAGAGAGTGCGAAACAGAATTTATTAGACTACCTGTCAAAAACTTCTTTCATAAACTTGTTTAAAACTAGAAATGTTATTGTTTGGCAAACAACAAACTGAAACAATACTACTCCCTTTTACACATAATAACCAAAAAACATAGTATCTTGTATGGCTTCCTTTGGCCTTGATAACGACTTGCATTCTTGCTGCCACTGTTTCTATGTAGTTTTCGACAGTCTTTTGTTATGAAGTTTCAAAACGTTTTTAGCTGTTCCCACAACTTGACTTAGATGAAACGTTTGTGCCATCAGTCTTTGAAGATACTACATCCCAAATTTGTTCAATAGGATTCAGACTTTGACTTGTCCAGTCCATCAGTTCCAGTGATCCAGATTCTTTTTCTTGGTCAGATAGTCTCTCCACAGCTTTGAAGTATGCTTGGGCTCATTGTCTTGTTGGTATATGAACCCAAGACCAATCAGATTCAGTCTAGGAGGGAGTCCATGATGCACTAACATCTAACATGTTGTGGTAGATATTCTTGTTCATGATACTGTTGATTTTCATTCATTTGTCCACACCCAAATGGAACCCCATACCATAATAAAATCTCTACTGTGTTTCACTGTGGGTGCAATGTATCTGACATCAAAATGTTCTCCAGCTTTTACTGCTGACAGAAACACGACAATGCTGACCAAAGAGTTCATATTTGGACTTGTCCATCCAGAGTACCTTCTTCCAGTCATCAACAGTCCAGTGTTTGTGCTCCCTGGCAAATCTGAGGTGTTTATGGATGTTTGCAGGCCTCAATAATGGCTTCTCAGCAGCTATTCCTCCCTTTAAGCCTTGCTCCATCAGTCGTCCGCTGATGGCTACTTTGGAGACTTTCTCAGACTCTGATATAGAAGCATTCATCTCCACCTGAAGATCAGCAGTGGTCTTCCTTCTGGCTCTGGTACTGAAAATCTTGAGGTGTCGCATAAAATTTGTAAATAACTATAATTTGACATCTTAATGAAGATATAAAAATGTGCTTTACTATTTTTAAAAAAATTTTTGGAAGCAATAAATTTGAAAATTCATGGATAACAATAATAAATATATTCCAGGATTAAAAATATCATTTTGGTTAAAAAGCTTCTACATACTGGTATATTAACCATTACAGAAGCAGAGAAAAATATTGTAATTACCAGCATTGTTAATTGTTAATTTAGGGGAGCAGTGGCATAAACCTTACCTTGGGTGTTGGTCTAATACATTTTTTTAAGCACTGCATATACCTAGAATTGTTGTTTGTTTGTAAACTGCTACAAGTTGGACAATATTTTCTTGATTACAAGCTAGGATGATTTTTGCAAAATACACAAATTCAAAAAAAGAAATTTCACAACTACAAGAGACTGAAAATAAACAGAGAAAGGCTGAATTCATTTTTCATGCCCACTATGTTGTTGTTTTAAGCTCATCAAACAGCCGCGCATTAAAGTGAGCGAGTCGGATCAGTTTGAGGCTTATACTATCCGTACAAACTGCCAGTCTCTTCTCCTGGAATCTCCCTACAGAAACATATTGATTGTTCAAGATGGTGGAGTATTAAATATTTCTGAGGCATGGAGCGCATCCAGTTCATTCTGGTTATCTGTTTTCAATTCAGCTCCTGTCTTACAGAAACTCTCCACCAATAAAGCTAATGAATGAAATGAAAAATGTTGACATTGTGTAACTGTTGCTGGTATTTGCGAGGCATTTCCTATTGTTGAATTCTTCACCTTCAACTTCATGGTTATGAAAGAGCTCTACTGCTGTCTGTTGACTATCCAAAATTATTTATGTAACAATTTATGATGTTTCATGTTTTTTATTCATGTCTTTGCTGTTGCTGGAGAGTCAACAGCTGAGAGTATCAGAGCTTAATAAAAGGGAGATCTCAACATTGTGATTTGTTGCAACTTGGATTTTAATTTCATTGCTTTGGTCATATTTCCTATCAGTGCTAATGATATTAAACTCATCGAGTTAATTAGTGGAAACTGGGAACATGATGATACCTCTGTAAAGAGATCGAAGGAAAAACATATGTGGTCAGACAACAAAACAGGCTTTAACTAACCTCAAGACAACCATATTTTTTTCTCAGACATGAGTGTAAGTGCAACTCTTTACAAAACAATGCTATTGTTTCCAGTTGGAAGCACAAGCCGAAGCAACACACACTCCCCTGATTTTCAGCCAGGCAAGCAGCAAAAGGTGAACTTATTTTAACATTGATCCGAAATATGCGCACTTCCACAACATGTGTCCAGTGTGATTTAGCACTGACATTTATGAGAACATCAATTTCACTGCAGAGTACAAAGGAGGATAAAGGAATGGTGACATCTCATGGGGTAACTGTAAGAGTTTGAGGATACCATATTATAGAACTGATGTGATTGTTTTGATTTTGTTGAGGTAATAGCATTCTATGTGCAGCTTTGCGTTTTGCTTTTCATTCTACTTGATGTGAACTATTCTCTGATGTACATCAGCAGTACCTGAACTCTTCATGGTAGTAAACATCTATCAGAGTTTACAGGCCTCTCTAGTTCAACTTTGAACTACTGCATTAAGACAGTTTTCTTCTGCAATCACGGGCCATTGTCACATCATTACACATCTGTTTTTTCAGTTTGGCTAAATGCTCTGTTTTCACATAACTGCACATGTCACATTATTGCTTACTGTCAATCATTTATTACCCACAGGAATCCATACAGTTTAGCTCAACCCTAATAGATAATCCTTGTCACCTTGCAGACTTCACTGTCATATCCAGGGCTCTATATTTAGAGCATCCTTGTTAGCAGGGACAGCAGTTATCTGGGTTTGACATCATTCAACATAAACAAGTAGATAACAAAATATAATTACACACCTTATGCAACGCAAAATGATTTGTTATATGAAAATACGCTCTAACTCTAAATGTCGAAATGACACTGGTACTTCCAAAAAAATGTTAACACTCAAGATGCAGCATCGTTAGGTGACAACACAGCTGAAAAATTGGTGCTTATGTTGACAGATGACAGCCTGCTCTGCTATCTGCTGCAACTCACATTATTAAATCTCTCTTATGCCACCTAAACAGTAAATTCAGCAAAAGTTTTGTTGTTGTTGTTGTTGTTGTTGTTTTTTTGTCCCCATTAGAAAATGGGAATTGAGAAACAAGTCCTACGTTTAATTAAAAATGTCCGATTGTATAAATATGAGCTGCAGAATCGTGTACCAGTTAGAACCTTTATATTCGTGACTAAGACCAAATCTTTTTTTTCTCATTGTTATGCTTACAGCGTAATGCCACTATTGTTTGAATAAATCTTGTCAGCCTAGGTGGTTGAAGGGGAAAAAGTAAATGGCAAACTTGGGAATAGAATAAATTACCTGTGGTTGCTTTTACAACGGATCCCCTTTTGGAGACCCTCTGAGCAAGGGAGTCATCCATAAATCACCAGGGCTGCACATCAGGAATGTAATTGTGCTCTCTCCATGTGTAATAAGTCGTTAAAAGTGCTTTTCTCTCCCTGCATCTGATTTACTATGTATCCATGTGTTCCTGAAGCACTCAGTCTCAACTAATTAAACGCAGAACCAATAAGATGAAGGTGGTATTGCCAGGATTAGAATTCACTGTTGACCATTTTTCTGTTTGCTGACTTGCAGGAGTTTGTGCACTCAGTTTCTTCACCTGGTTGCTCTCTGTATTTCACACTTGATAGTAAATGTCTCCGTTTTCATGTCATAATCACTTTGGTGGTTACAAAGTCTTTCAGCTGCACAGTCCACTGTGCACAGTAATCTACAGGGAAATCACTCACTGACTCCATCACACAACTTCAGTGTATTTATTGTCCACTGTACAACAAACAAGGACCTTCAGTCAAGCGGAATGATGCTAAATGCAAATGAGACAAAATGCATTTTGGATAACAACATTTCTTCAGCATTTGGAAAAAAAAAATTGCATATTTACATCTATCTGCAAGAGTCCCATTCTTGACTAAAAATTAGAGTTACATTTCCTGAAGACTATACCTGTAATATTAATCCCATTCACATTTCTCTTTCTAATGCCAGACAAAAGAACAAATTGCTAAATTTATTCATTTACATTCCAGAGGTGCAACAAGCACTGTGTGACCTGCTCTATATTCTATTGCAAGGATGACAAGTTAAAGATGTAAACTGCTTTAAACGCGCATTTAATAAAATGTTTAAATATCATAGGAGATTAAACAATTATCCCAGTTTTTGACTGTGTTCAGTTACATAAATAAAGAAACAATAACAAAGAAATAAAATAATTCCAATAAGAAAATAATAGGTGCTTTCTGTGATCAGTGTCTGACATTGAAACAGGTTGGTCATTTGTCATTTGATGCTGTCAGGATCAGCATCTAAGTATTGAAAATTCTGCAATCAAATTAACTAAACCAAAAATTATATAAAAAATAAAAAAAAAACCCTGGATCAAATTGTTATTTTGATTTGAGTTTCCAGTGACTCCGATTACTCTGACTTTTCAATGATGGACACACTAAAACCCATACGTCTTTATCACAAAAAATATCAAGCATACATTTTAGTTCATTCTTCAATTTATTATAGGTCTTCTGAAAAACCACAAAATCCGTCGGGTCAAAAATGTACATGAACACAAATTCTCTGCTGTTCAGTTTTGATTTTGTTTAAATATGAACATCTCTGTTTGTATATTTTTTTTACTCAGCAGATTTTGTCATATTTCCAGAAGACCTACAATAAATCTTTGAAAGAACTACAATGCATGTTTGTTTGTTTTTTGTGACAAAGACACATAAGTTTCACAAGAACGCACAAGTTTCTTACCATAATGCCGAGCGTATACAAAACAATGTGGAGGCTAACGGTTACAGAAAATACAAAAGAACTGAGTGCAGCCTCATGCAATCTCGCTTAGATGTCAATTGATTTAAAGTTGTACGTCACATTTCAACGATTGCATTATTTTTAAGTTGAATAGTATTTCCTCTTATAAACAATCAAAACCAAATACTTTAAAATGTCTATATTGACAATACAGGCCCCAAAGTAGAAACTAAATGCAACACGACTGAATATTCCTTTGACAGCTGCGATCACTGACAAACAAATTTTTAAAAGGCAGACACTCTCTCTACTTTTAAGGTTTGGCTTAAAACTTTCCTCTTTAATAAAGCTGATAGTTAGGGATGCTCAGGTTTCCAGTGATGTACTGAGCTCATCTCCTCTCCTCTACTCTCCTCTCTTCCATGTAGTTATTACCACCATTACATATCACTAACTCTGTGTTTCCCCCGAGGTCCTGTGCTTGTTCTTTCTGCAGACGTCTCTGGATCCGGAGCTTCACGTCTCTGACCTGCAGCCGCTGGCCTCACCGACCCCCAAAACGCTTATATTCATATTTATTGTTCTGTTCTATTGCTTGCTCTCCATCTGCTATCCTGTTGTCCCCACCCCCTCATCCCCACTCTCACCCAACCGGTCCAGATAGATGGCCTCCCTCCCTGATCCTGGTTCTGCCAGAGGTTTTTTTCCCCTCCCTATGGGGGGGATTTTGGTTCCTTCCCACCGTTGCCAACCGCTTTCTCAGAGGGAATCCAAAGGCTACTTTGGATTGTTGGGGTCTATACCTTACTATGTTAAGCGCTGTGTGATAACATGTGTTGTAAACTGTGCTATACAAATAAAATTGAATTGAATTGAATTGAATTGAATTGAAGTGAATTGAATTGAATTGAATTGAATTGAATTGAATTGAATTGAATTGAACTGAATTGAATTTTTTAAAAATGTCATCACAGTACACCTGTGAGTTCCAATCAGTCTAACTGCACTATCATGGTCATTAAATGAGCTGTAAGCACAAGAACTTTCTCAGTTTGAACCTATTGGTGTGTCTATGTGCATGG